TTAAAGCAATATTATGACAAACATTAGGAACCATAGCAACGCTACTCAGATATTATCCAGAGCAACTTGATTATTATGGTATAAAAATGTTTTATCATGGTAGAAATAATGCATTGAAACTTTTAAAAACAAATATACCGAAAACTATTAGCTTTACACACTTTCAACAAGTAAACCTTTTTTGTTGTGGAAATACGAGAAAATAAGATGTTTTGGTCAGTTGTTGTATACAGGTTGGCACAAAAAAGTTATGATAAGGTATTTACCGAAATAGTGCTGTAAGTAGCGCCCTCTAGGGGTTTTATGGCCGGATTCTTGTTTCTCATTCTATAAAACCTCTCTATACTGAGTTTTATGCCACAATCTGAAATACTTCTCAAGCAATAAGGAAAAATAGAAAATAAAATTGTAACTTTGACACCCTCGCAAACTATCAACTTTTGGACTAAGGTATATTCACATATTTTGGTCTGTAGTATTGTAGATTTCCCAACCTTTCGCAGTATATTGCATTGTCTTATAAAAGAAAAACAATTAATTTTAACCTTACAAACTTTCAGATAAACTTAGAACATTTTTGTATTAGGGCTCGTACATCGAAAAAATATGATCCCATTTTCGAAAATTTTAGCGATTACAATATTTCCCCGAAAATAAGCGTAGCAAGTAAAAGCATGATGTTTAAAAATGGACCTGGGATTAAGCACTGGCCGATTCAATTCCATTAAGCCATTTGAGCTGTAGCCCGTAAAATAAATATTTCAAAGTTATTTCCCGGGATTGAAAGTAGCGTATGTGCTATTCCAAACTATACAATCTCTCATCCATATCCGTTCAACGATTTTAACGTGATTGAGTAACAAACATCCAGACATTCTCGTTTATAGTGTTAACAGGAAGAGCAAGCGTTGTTCATTTAAAGCATTATTTGTTCGATTCTGGACTCACCAAAGATCTAAAAGAGTTCGAGAGAGAAGAAGAACGGCAGCAACTTCCTCTCTGAGGAGGTTATAAAAGCCTAAATCTTAATTTTTATTAAAGCCCCTTCTCACGTCTGGATTTGACACCCAACTACGATCACTGTGCCAATTTGTCGAAAAAAATTGACAACTGTTGGTAATTTATGAATGGTATTATTGTTGTTCGAAACGAAATTCTACGTGAAGCTAATGAACAATGCAAATGCCCTATTTATACAGGGTGTCCGCAAAGTTGGGGTTTTCCTTTATCAGACATAACTACGCATGATATAACAAAGCTAATGTGTGGTGAAACGTGAGCGAACAAGTGAAAGGAAAAAAATTAAAAAGTACTCTCTGTTCAGTTGAATTGTAATTCCAAGTACGGCTCTGTAGAGTGAGGAGGTCATGTGGAGAAAAGTACTTCTTAACCATAAACAAATAGGCTAGCTTTTCCCAGCAGCTATAGCAAGCTCTTTGTAGATGAAAACTGAATCTTAACCGCTTATTATAACACATATTCAAAAAACGAGTGACGATGAAGAGGTTACTTTGCAACAACTTCAAGTGAGATCAAATAACATATTTCAAATAACATTAATTTTCCAGATGATGCGGTCTTCTTGGGAATCAACAGTATTTATACTAAGTGACATATAAATCCGAACACCCAGTTTAAATGGTTTTATTTTAATAAAAATTGGTGAATGTATTTATCTTACTGTAAATAACAAGTGAAAAAATTTTCAGCCTTATCAGTTGGACACTCCGGTTTTTATACTGCTTTTTTTTAATTCACTAACGCTCTAAAAATGAATATTTCAGCCGCAGTAAAGAATCAACGTTGGCGGATTTTGGTTCTTGACATCCTTTACGATCGGTTACGATGCCTAGAGTACGGAGACCTGTACGATTTCGTCAACTTAGTGAGTTTGATAGGGGCCGTATAGTGGGACTTCGGGAAGCTGGACTTTCTTTTCGGGCAATTGCAGTTAGAGTGCAAAGAAGTGCAGACACTGTGGTTAGGTGTTGTCAGGCATGGCTTCGAGAAGGCCGTACGCAAAGAGCAAGCGGCACTGGACGCCGCCGTAGAACAACAGACCGTGAAGATCACCGCCTAAGATTATTGGCCTTAAGGGACCGTTTCTCCACTATCAGGTCCATTGCAAATGAATGGTTTGCAGAACACGGAAGACCTATTGGCATGCGAAGTGCTTACCGACGAATGAGAAGTTTTGGCTTGTTTTCATACCGGCCACACTGGGTCCTCCCTTTAACTCGAGAACACCGACGTAATCGCCTTGAGTGGTGCAGACAACGGTCACTCTGGGATCAGGAATGGAACAACGTCCTCCTCAGACTCTAGAAGCACTTCGAGAGGAGTTGATGGCTGCCTGGAATGAGATACCACAGGAGGACATTGACCACCTGATCAGAAGCATGCCTAGGCGCGTTGGAGAATGCGTAGCACATCAGGGTGCATCCACACATTATTAAAGGTCAAAGGGCTTTAAAGCAGTGCAATCATTTTGAAATGTTTATCATTTACTTATTATGCTTCATTGAGTACTTATACAAAATTTTATTAAAATAAAACCATTTAAACTGGGTGTTCGGATTTATATGTCACTTAGTATATTTTACAATATTGAAATCGAAGCCCATATGGCGACAAGCGACAATGTCCAATAGTCACATGACACACACGTTTCCGAGGTTATTCTCGTATTGCATAAAGAGGAGAATATTCAAGTATTCGAAAATTTAGGAATAACACATACCATTGGTCTAACCGATTATGCCTCAGCAAATAAAATTATATCAAAATTACGTACCTTGCACCACGAAATCAGTCAATGGATCAGCTCACGAAAAGGTTCATTTAATGCACAAGTCATATCACCACTCACAAATATTCACAAACAAACATGGTCAATGAACACAGAAAAATTAAAAATCACCATCTGGTTCATGAACTGCAAACATTTATAATAATGAATACACGATGAATTTGTTATAATTTTTATAGCATCAAAACGATTCTGGCAGCAGTAATATTTTTTTTCAAAATTATAATTGTCAGTTGAATGATTGACGGTGTTTGAATAAGGACGCAATATTTCAAGGTTCTATTAAACATGGTAAACTGAAATATTTATTGGATTATGGTGTAAACAGGGTGTTCCTTAATGATATGCGAATATTTAAGGGTGTGAGTCTACATGAAAAATTAATGTTAGTTTGCTTTATAAGCTATGGTCCAAAAATGCTTCCGGGGTGTTGAAGTTTTAGGAAAAAAATGGAAATTAATTAATATTTTCAGAACCGCTTCAGATATGTCACTGATATTTAGTACGTAGTGAAAGTTAGTAAAGTTGCATATTTTTCAATGCAAAAATGGTTTTTAACTTTAACAGTGGCGTGCGTACGGCTATTGACTTTGATATTTTTTAAGAAAAAAGTGGTACGCCAATAGTTTTTTTCCAAATAAAAATTATTTTTGAATTCCCCGTTCGATTTAAAACAAATGATCTCTCTTGAACTGTTTTCCTCCGATGCGTCATTTTTGAGTAAAAAAATAAAAACCGTTCTATTATCAGAGAAAATTAATGTAATAATTGAAGAATGCAATTTGGCAATAGACAAGTTAGACAATAGAACGGTTTTTATTTTTTTACTTAAAAATGACGCATCGAAGGAAAACATTTCATGAGAGATCATTTGTTTAAAATTGAAGGGGGAATTCAAAAATTTATTGGGTAAAAAAACCATTGGCGTACCATTTTGTACTTTACCAGACGTTACCCAGCAAACAGAAGATCACAAATTGTATTTTCTGCCATTCGATTACTTCCCATATCGCCTTACACTGATTGCATACTATTTTATAAGGAACACTCAGCGAAATCATACTCGCATTTTACAAATTTCAAACATCCCTCAAAATTTCATATGAATGAAGTTAAAAGCCGTACAAAATTTTATTTACAAAGTTCCTCTAGAATGAACTAATTATGAATGAGCCCTCGGTCGGTTTAGCGAGGAAGCATGTGTCCAACAAGTTGAATTCAGAAATTAGCACATCCGTAGTACAGGAAAACTAGATAATGGGTCAATCGAATGCGTTTTACATTTTTTTACCGGAGCAGCACGTCTCTGGGTAACCAGATTCTTGTTACGACGTCGAGAACATCGCGCGTTCGACTCACGGCCTCAGAAATGATAGAGAGAAGTTATAGAATTAGAATCCCAATACATTGATGATTAAATATATTTTTTAGTATGGATGCTCGGGTTAATAAAAATATATTTCGACGAGTACGCAATTCCATGGGAAGGAGGGCGGAAGCATGCATATTAAGTGAAGGGGGCCCCTATAGGGCGCATTATTTTCGTGGGGCTAATTTACATATCGCTGTTGGTAAACAAATAAATGAAATTATTTCACAGTCATAAAATATTTATTTTTAAGATTTTTAACTGTTACCAATGGTAACAATGGTTACATGGACGCTTCGCCACTGCCTATGGGGCTTTTCCGAAGCTCAAACCTGGCAGTTTCGTTTGATATCATCTGCACCTGCTCGAAGAACAAAAACCTCTTTCTTTGTTGTTGTGAAGCCCAAATTGAGAAAGTCGAGCGAGCCGAGTCGTCCTGCGGGGGTACTGGACAGGGATTTGAACAAAAAAGCCCCTTGCAAGTTCGTAAGCACACCTACCAACAACCTAGTCTCCCTTAGCTATAATAGAGCGTTACAGCGTCGCCGTAATACACGCGCGACGCTCAGTTTTGACGCCGACAACCCTCTATATCGACTGCCACCCCGTTTTTGAGTCAGATGCTGCCAACAAGTGAGGAGGAGAAGGTGTGGCAGTCAGACTGGTCGGCGAACTCCGGACTCGGCTATGAACCGAAAGGAGTTGAAGCTTTTGCTTCACTCCTTTCGGTTCCACAGTAGCGGGAGAGCCGTCAGTCAACTGAATGCCGACCGGCAAAAATCACAGGACGCTGTGATCAGTGCACGTGTGTTTTGTTTACAGGACACCAGGACACACGTGGTTATCGAACTTTACGAAAACGAGAAGAGCTATGTGGACTCGCTTGAGATCCTGGTCAGGGTAAGTGCCTCATTTTTTTTACAACTTTTAATGTGACTTTCTTGAAATCTACATATTACTGATTCATTCACCATCGATTAACTTCAGGCGCAAACTTTCGCTTATCTGTCAAGAACTTTTATTCTTTCAAACTTCCAGCAAAACTATCTCAAAAGCTTTCATACAAATCTACATGCTCCTGATTTTAGTAATACGTAGCGTGTCCTTTTTTAGTTTAGATATATTCAGATTCAATTTTAAAATAATAGATGCAAGCTTTTTTAATCGGGTGGTAAGCTGGACGTACACATGGTTTTCCAGAAATAATATGCGACAGTGACACGGGAGGTATATTAGTAAAAGCTTTATAGTTTTCGAGATATTGCCACTTTAAGTTTTCCAAAAAAATCTCTACTTTTTGCTCCTTTTTTGCATGTTTTGATTTTTTCCTAGGTTATCATTACTAGTTCGTTGCTAAAAAAGAACTAAATTATTACATTTGGTTTCAATGCGAAAGCCTTTACTAAAGCTTGACTAATTACTGTAAAAAAATATACCAGACTGAATCAGCAAACGACCTTAAAAAGTATCTATTTAATGTTCTTTCAAAAATGGTATAACATTTGTAGGTTCTTTTTACTAAAAACTGAATAATTACAAATTTTGTCATCGAAGTCTTACACTTGCGAAATAAAAAATAATATTTTTGAAAGAGCATTAAATAGCCTACTTTTGGCAATTATGTCTGGTACATTTTTTTCAAAGTAATTAGTCAAACTTTAGTAAGGGTTTTCACATTAAAACAAAATATAATATTTTTTCAGCAGACCTTGTTAGCTTCCAATGAAGTCGCCTCAACCAACTACATCACCACGCAAAATTAAACGGACAAACAAAATTTTGTTCAAATTGAATTTGAAATAACTTTTTAACCTTTGCATCAATTTCGTTAGTTTTTTCGTCAAGCTGTAGGTAATTTTATTGTAATCATTATTGGCTGCCGATCTTGCAAAAGAATTGAAAATATTTGTTGTTTTACGGGGTGTAACTAAAAGGTAAATTTTGGCCTAAATTTCTGAACACTCTGTGAAAACAATGGATTACTGAATAATGTGTTTTCGTATGAGAATTTTAAGCCTCAATTTTTCTCAACAGTTCTTTTTTTAATTCATGTCAATATCTCAATTATTGCAGAATATATGCTGTTTTGAAGAAAATCATGCGAATCACAGCTATAAACAATTAAATTTAAAAAATTACAGTGACAACATTGGTAAGAAAACTATGCGAATCATAACCATAAACAATTTAACTTAAAACCTTACAGTGACCTTATTGGTAACTAGAAATTGACATGAATCAAAAAAATAACTGTTGAGAGAAGTTGAGGTTTAAAATTATCATACGAAGACACTTTATTCAGTAATCCAATGTTTTTACAGGGTGTTCAGAAATTTAGGACAAAATGCACCTTTTAGTTACACCCTGTATAATAACAAGCATTTTCAATGTTTTGCAAGATTGACAGTCGAATATGATGCAAAGGTTGAAAAGTTAGTTAATTTGAAAAAAAAATTGGTTGTCTGGCAGTCTATCTATGGTATCCCAGGAAAAAAATCATAAGTTAAAACTCTAAAGTGGCAATATCTCGAAAACTAGAAAACTTTCACTAAGGTGTTGAATTTATCTGATTGATCTGATTTCTTGAGGGTGGCACTTGTTAGTTACGAATGTGGATGAATTATACAGAGTTAGTTCAAATTTTTTTCACTATCTTGGATTAGATTACCACAAAATACGTATATATTCAACTTAGTACGTATATATGTGCGCTGTTTTAACGTCGCATGTGTCTTTTTCGGCTGCCTATTTGAAGCATCTGATTATTTCATGGTGTGTATAGAGATGACTAAAAAACAATGCTAATTTTTTTTGTCAAAACGCATTTTTTCTGTAATCGTAATTTGTTAACAAATATTGATATAGCTCTGAAATTGTACGACAAAATTCCACCAGTGAGTGAAGAAGTAATTGATAAAAAATACACAAAAATTCATTTTTGACAAAAAAGAACTGATAATGTTTTAGTCATCTCTAGACAAACCATGAAAAAATCCGGCAAAAAGTATTTTAAGAATACTTCTCCAAATAGGCTGTAGAAGAAATGGGCATTGGGCGCTAAAAAGGGTGATTTCGACCCTGAACATATTTAAATTGATTAATTTTTATAAACGTTTTTTGTCTTAGGATGTTTTATTATACAGTGTAATTTCCCGCTCCCCTTTGATCAATTCAAAAAATTAAAACTTGAGGTAATGAAATAGATGCGTGGGTACCATATTTTAGAGTAAAATTGACAGATGAAAATGTCAAAAATGGAAAAAAATATATGAAAACGAGGGTCTTGTGACACATCATTTTGAAGCTCCTGACGAGTACTTTATAACCCTAGGATGTAAAGTCAATACCTTTACCTACTACAAAATGGTGGTAGATGTAATTAATAATAGGAGTATTCTTAATACTGTTTGCCGAATTTTTTCATGGTTGTCTAGAGATGACTGTAAATTAAATACATTAAAGAAAAGCACTGTAGATTTGAAGTAGGAAGTGATGAGACCATGCACTCATAAAAATAGTAAGTTAGATATAAAATAGCAAAACTGCGAACTTTGAGCTTCGAAAGTACAATTGAGTACTGAAATAAGAATAAAAATATTGATGGAAGCTTAAAATACATATATTATTTTTGTCACACTGACGGAGAAGTATTGTAATCGAAAAACTATTTCACTCATTTCCGTCGGATTTTTTGAGATTTTGCCACGAGGCTACTAATATGCCAAGAACGAAAAATCTTAACGTTTCAGAGACTCGTTCTCTTATTTTTCAAAATATAAAATAAAATTGTAACTTTGACACCCTGTATCTTGCAAACTATCACCTTTTGGACTGAGGTATGTTTAGGTCAATTCACATATTTTGGTCTGTAGTATCTCCAGTTTCGAAATTTCCCAACCTCGCGCAGACATCCTGTATAATCCACATAGCGTTGATGACAAAATTTCGTGAGAAGTACATAGTCAATCTACTTGATTTCATTTTTTCCATATATCATATGGTCTACCTTGCATGGGGTCCTTTAAAATAAATGCAAAAACCAAGAATATCGTATCATTCTTATTCTTCCTACTGTGTTATAAGAGCATACAAATCTTATCAAGATCTGAGTGTCAGCATCTCAATTATTAATCTTTCAATTAACGCCCTCTCTTTACCTTATCTTATTTTGTGCACTGGTGCTTGCTGTTTCAAACGAAAAGGTATTATATAGAAACAACGTTAATTAAAAAAATATAAAATATTCAAAAGCCGCGAATCCGATCTCGATAAATTGTTTATGCTTTTAATACTATAAAACTGTCAAAATTAGAGGTACGTTCAGCTTTAAGGATTCATTTAAAGAATTTCAGAAAATTATCAATCTTTTGTTCGCAAACTACTGAGCGGTTCCGTGTTGTACTCAGTACAAGTTCGCCAACGTGCCACTTTAGGTCCATTTAACATGATTAACAAGCAAAAGAAGGTGGTAGACAAGGACCAGTCGACAGAGGCGGTACCACCCGCTAGCTTTTCCCAGAATATCTTTAGAATGTTTCCACACCTAAGCTACGCAGTCTGTCCCTTTCTTTCCCTTCACAACAGAGAAATTAATGATGATAGATCCCTCGAGTACTAAGAATTCCGGACGTAAACTCGGAATATCCGGTTGGAGGGTGGACCTGAGGGAACAGCATCGATGATAAAATCTCTCTCCTTCACGAACCGCGAGATTAACAGCAATACTACTATTTGCTGTCCAATCGTCCCGTCATGCATTTTTTGGCGGAGACCATAATCTGATTTTACCCCGACTAGCCATTTCAGCTTTCCAAATTACGAGGTGCATACCAATTTGAGGAAAAACGGGGAAGTTGCGGCTTTTGTCCGCAGCGGTCATTCCTGCTCCAGAAACGTTTCTTTGGAAAGAGACCGGAAGGACATTCTGTGGCTTCGCCTCAACTCCAAACCGTCTCCGAAATTTAATTGCTGCCTTTATCGCTCTCTCTCTCTCTCTCTCTCTCTCTGGTAACATTACTGTGATAACCCACTTGAATAACCCACTTGCAAAACAGACTTTCTGGACATCAATCACCCTGCTTCAGAGGTGGTTCTCTTAGGTAAATTTCAATGCCCATAACGAGCTCTGGTCCTAAGACCAACTCTTACAAATACAAGCCTATAGCTCTGCCTTCTGTTATAAGTAAGGTGATGCAGAGGTGCATAAATCTGGAGCTTTTGGAGTACCTTGAACACCTACGGCTTGATTGGTGATCCACGCAACTGTAGCTTAAAGCTTACCCAAAACTGAATCGTGATCGTGTGAACGCCAGACAAGAATCTCGAAAGCAAAATCGAAAGCATGTCACGTTGTCGCCTTTTTTTCCCGTGATAACGTAGCTTAAAGCTTACCCAAAACTGAATCGTGATCGTGTGAACGCCAGACAAGAATCACGAGGGCAAAATCGGGAGCCTATAGCACTAAAATCTGAACGCACGACTGCACAATGTTCAACCAGAAGCTCCTCAATAGTAGGCTTGAAGGAATTAACTGAATCGTAATCGTGTGAACGCCAGACAGGAGTTTCGAAAGCATGTCAGGTTGTCGCCTTTTTGTCACGTCTTAACGTAGCTTAAAGCTTACCCTAAACTGAATTGTGATCGTGTGAACGCCAGACAAGAATCACGAGGGCAAAATCAGAAGCGTATAGCACTAAAATCTGAACTCAAGACTGCAAAATGTTCAACCACAAGTCCCTCCATGCGTGGCTTCAAGGAATGAACTGAATCGTAATCCTGTGAACGCCAGACAAGAATTTCGAAAGCATGTCAGGTTGTCGCCTTTTTGTCCCGTGATAAAGTAGCGTAAAGCTTACCCCAAACTGAATCGTGATCGTGTGAATGCCAGACAAGAATCACGA